CAGACAGACAGACAGACAGACAGACAGACAGACAGACAGACAGACAGACAGACAGACAGACAGACCTGGGGAGAGGGTTAGAGTTGGAGAGGGTGCTATTTTTCACACATCATGGCAAAAGTGCTAAGATTTCTTTCGCTGAAGTCCTTCCAGATTGATGTTTTTTTCCTGTCACACTGTTAAACTGCGTAGTCTCTGAGGCCTATTTTAGAAATCTGAGCGAAAAGAAAAAAAAAAAACCCACTTAATTTTAACATCCCTGGAGCCATGACAGTGGTGTAGATCAAGTAATAAACCTTGAGTAGGGTGCTCTCGTGGCCTAGAGGTTAAGGTGTTCGCCTCTCATTCAAAGTTCCAGGGTTCGAATCCGGGTAGCAACGGAAACATTTTCTTCTCTAAAATAGTCTCCTTTCACCTCATTTCTTGCTCTCTAGCAATGTTTTGTCGTCTGTTTTCGTCTCCACTTTTTGCCCCAACCCCCTCACCTCCTTTGCCCCCTCCTCTGGACTCCTGACTCTTTCTGCAGCCTTTCTACTGCTATTCCTTGGCTTCTTCTTACTGCTGTCTTTCAGCCACACCCCTGACCTTCTGGTAGGAAAGATCTACACCTATAGTGCGGTCAAAATGCATGGCGCAATTTATTTTAAATGTCTCCTTAACTATCGAACACAGATTCGCCCAGTGACTTATATCAGTTTGTCTTAACAGGTGAATATTTTTTCAAACTCTGTATTCTAGAAAATTCCTCAATAAATACTCATAAAAAATCCCAGTCGATGGCTTCTACGGATTTCTAAATGTTTACAGCTCTGGCAATAAAGCAAGTTTTTTTTTCAATCGCAACATTATCCTTATTGAACGTATGTTCAGGAAACCTTTTGTGCAAAAACTGTGTTCACTATAAAATCAATTTCTTGTAAGAGATTTTGCCACTAAAAAGCGCCATTGATGAGCTGTGACGTAGGCCATATGTACGACAAATGTGTACGAGAAGCGGGAAGTGCTGTGAACAATCCCATTTTCCACGTGATGGAGATCATAGTATTTTGTATAATTTATGAAGAAAAGTTTTCTAATCGACTCTCAGTTGTTGTGGGGAAATGTGATTAAGTTAAGACAAATTGATACAAACTGCTGTGCAAAGTATGGATGATATTTATTCCCCCGTTAAAAATTTATTTGAGGATAAGTTGCGCCACGAATTTTTGACCGCGCTATAGCCTTCTCGGACAAGGGTGAAAAATCTCGGAGGTCCCGTGTGCAAGTTGCACATGTTAAAGATCCCTTGGTGGTCTAAAAATCGATAAGA